CTGGGAGGGGGTTGCATTATAAGATTTTTACTTTACTGACTTTGGGACCTGTAGTTAAGCTGATGTATAGCAGTTGAACAATTAGATCCAGTTGATTAGTTCTTTTCAATCTGGGATGGATCTCTAGAGGTTCCATTGGATAAAAACAGAAGGCATACTGATCAAATTTATGGGTAACCCCAAGCTGAGAGATATAGCTATAACACTGTTTGACAGATGAAGACTCCAAAAGACCACAAAAGACTGCAAATATGAACCAAAGTGAATGTGGTAATATTCAATTACAAGCAAAATTCAGTCTAGATTAAAAAGAATTAACAGTGCAAGTACATGATGGGAAAATCTAACCTGTCCACAGCTCACATGGAAAAGGATTCCATTTTGAGTTGACTCTTAGCACAGATTTACAACCTGCAGAGGAAGGATCCAGAACAAGGTGGGCAATGAAAACTCCATTGCACAACCAGGCCCAGAGTTTGGTGTCCAACAGTGAGCATCTCTGGGTTGGACAGCAAGGATGCTGGAGGACTGCAGAATTAAGCTCTAGGAGGAACAGCTCAGGAGCCCAGCTGCTCTTTCCTGCTGTGAAAGGAGACTTTTAGCATCACAGACACCTTGAAAGGGCTATCCCACAGAAGAGTTAAGCTGCTTCAGAGTGGTTGCAGAGGACCAAGAGAACCAGTGTATGGGAAGCGAACGGCAGGTAGACTCAGCCCACAGTGAGACTGCTTTCATGATTAGAGCGATCCAGACCGAACAGCGTGCCTTTTGCAATCTCCATCACTTGACAGGAGGCCTGTGGAAGGTTTGGGAGTTGGCTGGAACCTCTTTTGCAAGTCATTCTTTTCTGTCTGCTTAGCTTTTTAAACCAGGCTGCCTTACCAGCTCCTATCCTCCTTTACTCATGCCTTTGAAGTTCTTTGAGTAAACCATCCATTTCTCTGAATCATAGCTTCCCTTTTTTGTTCTTTGCCCTCAATTTATTAAATATAGCTAGAATCCTTGATAGGGAGGGGGAAAAAAAGAGTATTTCTAAAACCCAATCTTCCTATTTTTGACCTTGTTAACAAGAAGCAAGTATAGTTCAATGGATAAAATAAACTGAGCACAAGCTTATTTCTACATAAGAGAAGTTAGATCCTTCTGCCTTTGGGAGGCTGGATTTATTTGGTTGCCTATAAACAACATGTTTCAGTATTCCAGTTTAGACACATCAACAGGTTGAGGAATCAAGGGGAGAATAAGAAAACCAAACCAAACTAGTTCCTGTTGAATCGAGTCCAGCGAATGGAGATCCCAAGGGTGTCGGGGTAGCACTGTGCTCCACAGGATTTTCAGTGGCTGACTTTTCAGATGGAGACTGCACCTCTCGGTTAGCGGCCATGCTGTTAACCATTCACACAACGCAGGGATGGTCCAAGGGCATAACAACTGGATGATAATATGTAGAAAGGGCCAAACCCAGGTGAAAAAAATCAGTGTTTCAGTTTAAAGGAAGATTTCAGCCTATAGGAGATAGAAACTTGCCAAGAACAGCCAAGGCGAGTGATGGCAATGTGGTAGCAGAACCAGTGTGAACATACACATTACTTATTTCTGAGAAACCTATCATGGTATCTAATTTTGCTTTGTTTATTTTAAACATGATGAATCTTCAGAGCCATTCTCCATGAGGCAGGGAGTTCAGAGTTCCTCCTGTTTTTTTACCCTCCACAAATTGGAAATCAGTGCCTTTCAGCTCAGCAAAACTTCACTGAGGCCCTCCCTTGGCAAGGCCCTTTGCAAGCCATTGAACAGTTAGGGATGGGTGATTCGTTCATTCGTTCCAGTAGTAGGCACTCGATAACTGATGAGTGTGTACCAGAGGCAGAGAGCTTTGGGGCACTGTGGTTAAGACATTAGGTTGCTAACCAAAGGTTTGAACCCGTCAGCTACTCCACGGGAAAAAGTCTACTTCCGTAGAGATGTACAGTCTTGGAAACCCATGGGGCAGTTCTACTCTGTCCCGGAGGGTCGCTGAGTTGGAATCACCTTCGAATTTGATACCACAGGTTGCTCTATGTACTGAGGATAGATGAGGGCAGCTGAGCCCAGTTTACATAGAGCTCATATAAATCCTCATCAGAGAAGACAGGCAGCAACCAGCTCAACAAAAATGCAACATCTGAGATAAGTGCTGTGAAGAAAATAAAACTGAGTAATATGATAGAGGTTGTCTGGGGAGGGTAGCCACTTTAGATAAGAGTAGTCCACAAAGACATCTCTGGGGAGGTGAGTTTAAGCTGAGATCTGAATGATAATATGGAACTAGGTGTGTGCAGATGGAGGGCCGGTGGCAAGCATTCAGGTTCTTTCAGTACCAAGGGCTGAAGTAGGGAACCACTCAAGAAGGTCATGATTGCCCCAGAGGCGCTTACTATGTCAAGTAGAGTGCAGGCCACAGAACAAAGATCCCAAGATAATTTCCAGGCTGAGAAGAGGTACCTATCCTCCTGTCTGCAGTGCTTCTGAGAGATGAAGTGAGGCAGAAGAATTGAGCAATGATGCAGACTTGGTTTTGGAGGAACAAGGACCACCAGCCCTCCAGCACCACCCCCCAGTGGGAGTCATGTGCCTCCTGCAAGAGGCTCCAATCCTGTGACCCAACCAGTTCCCACCTTGCTTCTCTTACTGCATTGCCTTGCACTGGCAAGTACTTATGTGTTTATTTTGTGTAGAGTTTTCGTGGTTCTTTTCCAAGTATCAATCAAACCTGCACACCAGACTCCACTCCTTGGAAACAATGAAATGAAATGGCATGTCTGATTTTTTTTTTTTTTTTCCAATGTGATTTGCATTTGCTGAAAGAATTTATCTGAAGTCCTGAGGCTGTCTAGGACAACTGAGGTGCTGCTTTTTGTTTCAGTGTTGTTCATGTGGACGGTACACTACTGTCAGACATTTAAGTGGACTAAATGCTTCCTTCTGCAACATACTTCCCTGAGAAAGCTTCCCCTTCCTTGTGAATACGTTCAATACATTGTTCATGAATTCAAGGCAAAGGTCCCTCCTTGTTAACTAGGAATACTTTTATATTGGCAAAATTTCTTTTATCTTGCTGTTTGTTACCTAAGCTCTGTAGAGACTCCTGAAGCAAATTATTTGTGGCTCAAGAATACCTTTAAGCTCTTAGATACCCTTCAAACTTGGAACTTCAAACTCCCCACTCCTGGGGATCACCTTTCAGCCAAACAATAGGCCTATAAAGTAACCACCACCACCTGTGAGGAACATACTTTTCAGTAGAATCAGCCATAGGAAATTAAAAGTGCAGCATTTGCCCCAAAACAAAGTTCAGAAGGCAGGAAAAAAGGACGCATGGAAACCGGGAACGCAGAGAGGAAGTGGGAAGAGTGCTGTTTACAGTGAGGGGATTGCAACTAATGTCATGAAAGAAAACGTGCATAATTGTTGAATGGGGAAACTAATGTATCTGTAAATTTTCACCCAAACCACAATAAAGTGTTCAACAAAGAAAAAAAGAATAGATTTAGGATTGTGAAGTCCCCTTTCCCTTTCTCCTACTGGGAAAAGTGGAGTCTGGAAAATCGCTTTCATCTTGTCAGAGCCCAGCACCTGACGCAATCCGAGCCGCAATTTAGCAGCCATGGTGGCATACCCTGTGACTTCCTATGCAGACGTTCATCATAGGCGATGTGGGCTATTAAAAATAAAAAACGTCTTCCCCCATCGTGGGGTTCCCTGACAGGGCACAAAACCCGCTGGCGAAGGACTGATAAGCGTGCTGTGGCGCTCCCGGCTGGGGGTGTGGGGTGCGGCGTTCCTGAGGCGACAAATGAGGGACTTGGGCCATGGGAGAAGAGAGCTGCGGAATTCCTCCTCTCGGCTCCTAAGGGGGCTCGGAAGGAGACACAGTAACAGCAGAGCGCGGCCCTGCAAAGGAGGGCGAGGCAGCGAGCCGAGGGCACCACCGAGCGCGCCTCAGGGAAGCCCAGCGTGGACCCAGAGCCTCGGCCTCGCCTCCCCCGACACCCTCGGGGCCGCGAGTGCAAAGGGCCTCCAAACCTAATTACGGTCGGCCACCCTGTGTTCTGCGTGTGTGAGAAAACGCGGGCCTGGAGCCGCACGACAGAG